GTTTAAAATATGGGTTAACAAAACATCACACAATACCAAAAATGCTCTGAATATCAACTTATAACAACAGGAGAAATCATTGCGGGAGCAAAAATCCACACACTATTTATATTGTTGATTAAAACACAGACTTCCAGATAGAACAAGCAACATTTAGTTGTGATGGTTGTGAAGGATTATTAATTATTAACATAACACTGCTTGTCATGTTTTGAAATTATTTTTCAAAGATATCTTGTTTGGGCTGAATTGGTATTTGGTAGAAAAGATTCTGTAATCATTTGACATTACTGAGTACCCCACTGAAAAGCATGGATAACAAAGATTATTCTGCAGAGTTTAAAACTGCTTATCTTTGCAGACCATAATTACCCCACCCCTCACACACACACACACACACGCCCACACACACACGCCCACACACACACACACACACTATGACTTTCATCCATAGCATTATTATCTTTATGATTCACTGATTGCCCCTCCTGTTTGTTCTGAAGGGAAGTGATACGTTTCCTCTGTCACCTCATTTCATTCATGGACTGACTAATCAGTACTTAAACTGAGAATGTGTGTGTGGGCTAACACACACACACATGAACGGCTGATTGGATGGATCAGATGAAGGATGGCTGGAAGGAAGAAGCCTTCACTCATTGTTCCTTTTTTCTTTCATCGTATGAAGTGTATCCGTGCCTCCATCGCTCATCTCCTCCACAAACAGACACACACAGTCCCGAGCTGGTCAGGGTCTGTGAAACCAGAGCGACAGCTGGAAGTCACCCGGACGCCTCTGAGTCACAGCCCCACATCTGTACATCAACATTGTGCTCTGACGCTTCAGTTCAAGAATCCATTTAAAAATAAGACTTTTCTGTGGAACAGCTTGTTCTGTTAACATGTTCGCTCACACACCCAGCCTACAGTGCTGTGCAAAAGTTTTGAGCCAAGCCCATTCCTCTCTGTTTCCCTTAGAACATGAGAAACGTGTGCAGACACTGACGTTCTAATTCTAATAGGCTTAAAGGCAGGAAGTTGATATTTGGCCAATCAGAATGAAGACTAACAGCTGTGGCTGAGGCCCAAACAGATGGACGGTCAGTGTTGTGCTCTTTCCCTACACAGCGATGACATTTTGAACCAAAACCTTCACGTTTTCATCAAACCTGCTGCCACTGATTCTTCAGCTCCCTCCTTGTGTAGTTCGGCATCCCTCAGCTTTGTCTCTTGGTTTATGTAAGAATGGATCTTTGACTCCGCCCATCCACTGACACCATTTCTGACGACTGGCCAACCATAGATGTAGCAGCGGGAGAGCCAGAAGGATCTCGTCAGGTCTTTGCTGGAGTTTTTCTTAAAGAAATGACTCCAATAATTATCGTCTGCTGTAGATTGTAACCCTGCCAGTGTGTGCTTTGTCCTGGTTTCCTCACATTGTTAAGGACACCACACACTAATCACCTTCATAGTGCAGAAATACACTTTCATGCCTCTTTGAATTTGTTCCTAGACTCTATTGAACACACCAGAGTGTTTTATAAAAAACCAAGTGCCTAAAGAAATGACGTAACCTTAGTTTAAAGGATCGTTGTTAAGGTGCCTGTTGTGCACAGAGACAGCGCCGGTTCATCCTTTGAGTTAGGTTTTAATGCATGAAGGATTCACGTCGGTGTTTAGTGGCCCAACAAACAAACAAACAAACAAACAGATTCCTTTGAAAATGGTCACAGTGGATAGAAAAGCCCACAGTGACCTTCAGAGAGCTGCTACACTTTAAAAGTCAAACCTAAACAGTGTAGTGGAGACTTTTGCACAGCACTGTACATTTTGAATGTATATTTGAATGTACCTTTGAACACGGGCCACGTGCGTTTGGTTTGCAGCAGGTTTGGGATCACAGTGAGGACAGCATTGATAGGAACACTCTCATTTGTAGCTTGTACAGATTTCTCTATGTAGACGCTGCATTGGAGCTGGCGCCATGCGTCATATCCAGCCGCCATGTTGCTCAG